TTGAGTAATTTCAGTAAATTCATAATTTCAGTAGTAGGCGGATTGTAGTAAAATCAGCGGCATTTTAAAGATCTTTATTATGACTACAGATCACTGTGGTCCAAAACGGCAAAAAGTGGAACTTTATTCCTAGAGCCTAGCCTTTACATTTTAGCCATATAGTGTCTTCGGAAAAAATGTTTGTATAAATATCTTACATAATATAAAACTGTCAAAAATTGGTCATGTCTTACTATGCAAAAAAATAAAAACACTATTTTTTTTCTTTGAGGATATAGGGGAACTATGTCTTCAGCAAAGTTGTAGACAATGTAAAAACAAGCAACTTCACTCAATACATCAAAATTCTAAATCCTGTATTTTCAGAGTTATGGAGCTTTTTCTATGGAAGTTCCCTTAAATTTAGTTTTTCATACTTAACTTCTTTAAATTTAATTTTTCAAGTATACAATGTTCTAGACAATTATTTAAACAATCAAAACACACGTTTTTGCTCAAGATCAGAATCATTACAATTACTCCTTGTAAAGTTATAACAACTTTTATCTCTATTTTTCCATTACTTCATAAGCTTTTAGGAGAGAATGGGGCAAGTGAGGACACAAAACCAACTTTTTTTCTTGAAGCTTAGCTCAAGTACTATAAAGTTGAGAAGGTTTCATTTGTCGCTCCCTTCCCAAATTTTAGTACAATAACCTTATTATTTATGGTTTTTATATATTTTTCACTTTGTTTTTTAGGTTTTTTATACATATTTTTTTACTCTTTTATATTTGAAGTATATAATGTTCTAAATAATCTTAAAACAGTAAAAACACATGTATTTGTAGAAGACCGTTAGTCTCTACAATAATACATTGCAAAGTTATAGCTTATTTTAACTTTATTTTGCTTTATTTTTTTGTTTATATGGCAGAATGTGGCAATGGGAACACAACATCATCTAGCCTTCTTGAAGCCCAAGTACCAAAAAGCTATGCAGATTCAACTTCACCTTCCCCTCCTCCTATTTGACTATGACAACTTTACGCTGTTACATATTTTCTTGTTTTTATAGAAAACTTAATATATTGAACATTCGCTGCCATATAATTATAGCTCAAAAATAATACACCATGTACTTACGCGAATAACATATTCAGTTTCTTTCTTTGTCCAAATGCTCACGACACGTACACCTAAATATCAGCAACACTGCCAGCAGGCAGTGAAATCACACAAACTGTTATGCTATTCGCGTATAGCTCAAAAATAATACATGGTGTATTATTTTTGAGCTTAATTTTATTGCAGCGAATGTTCAATATATTAAGTTTGCTATGAAAACAAGAAAATATGTAACAGCGTAAAGTTGTCATACTCAAATAGGAGGAGGGGAAGGTGAAGTTGAATCTGCATAGCTTTTTGGTACTTGGGCTTCAAGAAGGCTAGATGATGTTGTGTTCCCATTGCCACATTCTCCCATATAAACAAAAAAATAAAGCAAAATAAAGTTAAAATAAGCTATAACTTTGCAATGCATTATTGTAGAGACTAACGGTCTTCTACAAATACATGTGTTTTTACTGTTTTAAGATTATTTAGAACATTATATACTTCAAATATAAAAGAGTAAAAAATAATGTATAAAAAACCTAAAAAAGAAAGTGAAAAATATATGAAAAACCATAAATAATAAGGTTATTGTACTAAAATTTGGGAAGGGAGCGACAAATGAAACCTTCTCAACTTTATAGTACTTGAGCTAAGCTTCAAGAAAAAAAGTTGGTTTTGTGTCCTCACTTGCCCCATTCTCTCCTAAAAGCTTATAGTAATGGAAAAATAGAGATAAAAGTTGTTATAACTTTACAAGGAGTAATTGTAATGATTCTGATCTTGAGCAAAAACGTGTGTTTTGATTGTTTAAATAATTGTCTAGAACATTGTATACTTGAAAAATTAAATTTAAAGAAGTTAAGTATGAAAAACTAAATTTAAGGGAACTTCCATAGAAAAAGCTCCATAACTCTGAAAATACAGGATTTAGAATTTTGATGTATTGAGTGAAGTTGCTTGTTTTTACATTGTCTACAACTTTGCTGAAGACATCGTTCCCCTATATCCTCAAAGAAAAAAGTTAGTGTTTTTATTTTTTGCATAGTAAGACATGACCAATTTTTGACAGTTTTATATTATGTAAAATATTTATACAAACATTTTTTCCAAAGACACTATATGGCTAAAATGTAAAGGCTAGGCTCTAGGAATAAAGTTCCACTTTTTGCCGTTTTGGACCACAGTGCAGATGAGCAAAATTTCAATATGTTTGACTCATTGTATTTCAAGAAAATGTGTTTTTGTTAGGAAATCTAGTTTTTTTCTAAAATAACTCTAACTTCTTACACACTCATTCAAATAAGCCCAATACTATACCGATGAACAATTAATGGTTGATGAGCCAGCGGCTGGAACTTTAGAAATCTATCTTTTTAAGTTGTGCTCGTACAGCTGTTTTTCTGAAATGTACGGACAACTGTACGCTCAATTTTGAGATACACTGTAAGTTAAAATATACTAATTGGATCGCCACCAAATGTAGGGTGGTTGACAGCTGTAGTATACTCCTAGTCCCACCATCGAATGGCATTTGCTAGATAAGATGAGGTTGCGACATAATTAAACAAATAAGCTCTGTAAACAACGCTCTTTGAAAACATTTTTATGAATTTGTTACTGAAAAAAATGCAAGGATTTAAAAGGAGGACATTTTCGGGCAAAAGGAGGAAGTAGAAAAATTATTGAAAAAGGAGGACATGTCCTCCTTTAGGATACCATAGGGTAACCCTACTTGTAGTCCTTTCATATGGCAGATATGCCAAATTTCAGTGCGATACTGATGTCTTTAGTTTTGTTTTGACAGCTGATTGTTGTTGATGTGTTTGGCATCATGTTGAGTATGGATAAAAACGATTTTCTTCTTCTTCTTTTCACCCTTTAGTGGCAAGTCCACTGTTGACGGACTACACTGCCAAAAAAACGATTTTCGTTCTCTCATAAAATATTATTTTTTGAGAGGCAAAACGGCGAATGAAACAAAGGAAAAGTTGGATAAATATTATGGGGCTAATGCTCCGTCAGATTACACCGTCAAATATTGGTTTTGGAGAGTTTCGTGGTGGCTGCAACTCCACTACCGATCAAGTCCGCAGCAGCAGGCCCTCCGACAATGTCAAAAAATGCATGAAATGGTGTTGGCTGACCGGAAAGTGAAAGTGCGCGAGCTAGCAGATACCGCAAAGATTAGTACTGAGCGCACACGCCATATTTTGGGTTAAATTCTGCATATGAAAAAGTTATCCTGCCACTGGGTGCCGCTCAATCTCACTTCTGACCAAAAACACGAACGCGAGAGCACTTCGAAAGAGTGTTTGGACTTGCTGATGCAGAATCGGGTGGACTTTTCTCGATGAACAATTCAAATGGTCCTCTCTGCTTTGATAGATTCTCTTCATCGACTTTCTCTTTTCATAACCACTGCTATGCAAACAGATTTCGCGCTAATTCTACCACTTAAATTGATAAAGGAGGTTCTTATCTAGCGTCCAAAACGTCAAATACAACAGGGAAAGGTTTTGCAGCTGAGTTATTGACGAAAGAGAAAGTCGATGAAGAAAATGGATTAATGCAGATAGGACCTTTTGAAATGTTTATCTAGTTTTGGCGTCGATTGGTAACTGTTGATGAAACCTGGATCCACTATTACACCCCAGAGAACAGAATGAGTGCCCGGCAATGGACTGAAGCCGCAACGAGTGCTCCGAAGCGGCCGAGGGAGGCTCGATGGGTCGGAAAGGTTATGGCGTCGGTTTTCTGGGATTGTCATGGCATACTCTTCGTGGACTACCTCGAAAAAGGAAAAACCATCAACTGTGCATTATTGGAGCGATTGAAGGCCGAAATTGCTGCAAAACGGCCTCACATAAAGCGAAAAAAAAATTGTTTTTGCAAGACAATGTGCCGGCGCACAAGCGCATCGCAACCACAGCTAAAATCAATGACTTACGGCTCCGATTGCTTCCGCATCCACCGTATTCGCCTGATTTGGCTCCCTCAGACTATTATCTCTTCCCAAACCTCAAAAGATGGCTAATCAATAAAAAATTCAGCTCACGTGAGGAAATCATCGACGCCGCGGAGGAGTATTTTGCAGACCTTCCGGAAAATTACTTTTCGGGCGGGATCATGAAGTTGGAAAATCGCTGGAATAAGTGTATCGAGTTAAAAGAGGACTATATTGAATAAAATAAAAAAAAAATTATAAAAAAAATTCATTCCCAAGGAGGTTACTTTTCACCCCACCTAGTATAAACTTCGTAAGGTTTGTGCCAAGTCAGTTTCATCTTAATAAACTAGTTAAAATTTTGGGGAGGCTAATCAATACCCAATTTGGAAACGCTTTAGCACCGTGGAGTGAGAATTTCAAATTTTGCATCAGTCTACTAAGCAGTCTAACACTTAAACATACAAATTCCTTAAAAATGTTTGCGTTCTCACAATTTTCTAGCAAGAGCAAAAGTTTTTGGGAAAGATCTCAAGACCAAAATTCTGCACTCCGGATATTCTAGCTCATTGTAGACCTCCTTTCGCTCCATGGTGGTTGCCAGAGAACGTGTCAGATCAATGATTGATGTGAACCAATAAAGAACGATACATCCACACTCACACATATTACATTTTACACATTATCTACTTAAATGAATAATCCTAATTTAAAAACTTGAAAAACTTCGTAGTTTTAACCCATGAACAAAACTGTGCACTGATCTTAACTAAATAAACCTCTCTCTTCTCTCCCCTTCCCGTACTGTGTCGTACTGGTTCACTCCCATATCCATGTATGTGTGTGTGTATGTGCGTACTTGCTAATCCATTCACACGAATACATAACCTCCTGCGTGGTGTTGTGGTGACACACTCGAATCCGGTGACTGACTGTGGACTGGATATGCCGACAATGACAGATCCCGATAATTGCCAGGACGTGGAACGTGTTTGCGGTCTGTGGGATCTTCACCCTCGGTTATCTGCAAGTGTTTATCACCTTCTGTAAAATGTTCCACGACGGTGGCGTCGGTAAAAATGGCTCAACCGTTGCTGTAAGAACCTCACCATTGATTATTATACTATGGTTTAATCCTTGTGTTTACATTTGTTTCGATTATTATTTGTTGTTTACCCTCCACTGCCACTTTTCGGGGATCAATATGTACTTAACACGTAACGTAAGATTATTAATCACCTCCAAATGTAGAACGAACTGTCGCTTAAAATGTGGGACACTTTTAACCCTTTGTAATGCAAGCCTACTGCTGCCGATAATTTCGCTAGCAGGGCGTGATTTTCCATTTGAGTAACCGTCACGTCTGGAAAACGTACCTTCGCATGGGACTTCGTCTATAATTGGGGATTAATCAACCACTTTGAGTTAATTAAAGATCGATTTTATTTAACCAACCGTTTTCTATGATTTTAATGAGTTATTTTTATTCTCAACCTCTCCTAACATGGTATCATCTATAACAACACCAACTACTACTACCATCGCTGCTACTACTACTACTACTACCGCTACTTCTACAACTATCAACCATCATCACCGAAAACGAATAAAAAAAATACAAAATACAAACTCTATACAGCTTCCGATACTGGGTGGCGTCGACATTAAGATAGTACCACTTTACTTTGCCGTGTTTGTGTTTGGGCTGTTAGCGTATGAGAACGCGTCCGTGATCTTCACGGGGGGCGTCGGCAAGAATGGATCAACCGTTGCCGTAAGGACCTGTGGGGACCCCCCGTGGCCTCTCATCTCGAAAAAAAAAATACATTTAGAATATATACAGAGCATGAATTATAATACCGTTGTATAGACTGAGTAGCCACGTGGGTCTTGCCCTGTGTGTGTTTGTTTGTTTGTTTTGTTGTGTTTGTTTGTTTTGCTGTGTTTGTTTGTTTGTTCTAACGGTGTAGGCAGAGTGTTATGCTAACAACAAGTCGTTGTGTTGTGCGCGTGATGTCTAGGCAGTAAGAGTATCGCTATAACCACATCAGTATCATCAACCGTTCATTTGTCACACTGTCATTTATTGCAATAGAAATACATTCATAGTGCAAAACCGATCGAATCAAGAGTGAATTTTTAAATAGCTCTATCTGATTTTGTAAACAAAGATTCAACTGTCAATTTTTCGAAACCCTTTAGCTCGCCCACGCAAACTAACACCACCAAGTTTCCCCAACATTATGGTGGTGTTGGTTTGCGTGGGCGAGCTAAGCGTCTCGACAGATTGACGTTTGCATCTTTGTCTACAAAAGCAGATACGGCCAGTTGAAAATTCACGCTTGGAATATTGTGCCAATGGCTCCGATTTTTTTTTAAGGGGTAATGGTTGCTTTCAAATAAAATTTAATTGACGCTCTCTGTCCATGATTGAATTATATTCATTTGCTCGCTATCTCTCTTGGCGTGGAGAATGTACAGGACGCGTACGACACATCCATAGCATGCACTGCCGGCCAGTCTAAATATAATGGGCACATATTTGATTGCGAGGTGCTAAATTGATATGAACTTGACGATCATATCGGCTGATGGGAAAGGAATGCCCGCTGAGATTTTGTCAACAATCTGTGGGAAACGAGCGAACATTTGCAACAACTGTTATTCGAAATTCAACTGTTATGGGAGCTGCAATTAAGGCTGATTCTTTTCAAAATAGCAAGAAAACATGTTCAATTGAAAACTGTTATTGTAGGTAGAACCCAATTTCAATAATCCACCAATAATCTTGTTTCATTGATTTCAACAGTGCTGCTGGATGAACAGCAAACATAATTAACCTCAAGTTAGGGTTTAGTAAATGTATTTCGAAGTCATCATTTTTTTCGTGATTTTTTTATATAATGCTTCTATTTTTCCAGGCTCATTTGTTGTAGCTTTGCGGAGCCGATATTCATTGTTTAGATCACAAAATTACTTAAAACTAACGTTTGTAAAGCAGGGGCCGATTACTCGCGGCTATCTCGATGAAAAAGACAAACATGGGGGTACACCGATGGGCAGCTAACAACTTGGGAGAACACAAGATGACACTAACTACTAAATCCTCAAATTTATCCGTTTTAAAAACACATAAATTAAATTCAAACAGTCGAGATCTCGGCTCGCCAAGACATCTCTAACGGGTATCGCGGGTTTTTTCCTTGGGTCCTGAGGGATGTGGATAACTCAGATCTGGCAACACGGTTTAGGGTACATGACCAAACAATATGATATCGTGATAACCATTGCCACACGCACATAATTTGTTGCATGAGAGCCCAATTCGATAGAAGTGTGAGTCTAACGAACAGTGATTGGACATAAGCCTTGACATAACGCGTGTAAAGTCGCGGCTCATGTCCAACCCTTTGAACCATGGTTTGTTAGACACCTGTGGGAGAATAGAATGTACTGGATGAGGACCTGCTGACGAGCAATGGAGAAAAATTCGTTGAAGGCGATTTGTCGCACAAAAATATCGCCTTCCATAGCGCCCACCTTAGCCAACGAGTCCGCTTTCTCATTACCCGGAATTGAGCAATGAGATGGGATCCAAGCTAAGGTGATAGTATAGGAGCAGTTAGATAAAGCACTCAGTTTAGATCGTATTTCAGGCAGGAAATACGAGGAGTGCTTCATCATCACCTCCAATGAGCTAAGACTATCCGTAAAAATGAAATAATGGTCAGAAGGTAGTGAGGCAATTCGCTCTACTGCGTAAAATATAGCTGCAAGTTCCGCAACGTATACGGAGCATGGTTTCTGCAGTTTATAGGAGGCGCTATGAAATTGATTAAATACACCAAATCCAGTGGAAGCATGTATGGTTGACCCATCTTAGAAAAATCTTTTATCGTTACTTACATGGTGGTACTTGATTGCAAAAATTGATGGAACAACCATCGGCCGATGGTGATCTGGTATTCCATGGATTTCTTGCATCATGGTCAGATCAAAATTTACAGAGGAACTATAGAAGGCTTGGAAGCAATCACGATTGGAGATTAATGAAGAAGGACCAACCTCCAGCGTCATGTACTCATAGTACAAACTCATGAATCTTGTTTGAGGATTTCTGTCGAGTAGCTTCTCAAAATTTTCTATTACCAATGGGTTCATTACTTCACAACGGATAAGAAACCGGAAGGACAATTCCGCGAAACGATCTGTCAGTGGGAGAACACCCGCGAGTACTTCGAGGCTCATCGTATGCGTCGAGTGCATACAGCCTAGCGCAATACGAAGGCAACGGTGTTGGAGCCGATGCAGCTTAAGGATGTGTGTTTTTGCTGCGGATTGGAAGCAAAAGCTGTCGTACTCTAAAACCGAAAGGATGGTTGTACTTGTTCGGTACAACCTGATCAGATCTTCCGGGTGGGCTCCCCACCAAGTTACGGTAATTGTACGAAGAAAATCAATCCTTTGCTGGCATTTTTGTTTCAGATACGCAATATGTTTTCCCCATGTGCATTTGGAATCGAACCAGACACCTAATTACTTAAAATAAATACTTTGAGTGATTGTTTTACCCATTAGCTGAAGCTGTAACTGTGCAGGATGATGCTTCCTAGAAAAAATACAACCAACTCAGTTTTCTCCGGAGAGAATTCAATACCCAGCTTCAAAGCCCAAGTAGACAAATTGTCCAAGGTATCTTGCAATGGTCCTTGCAGGTCCGGTGCACTTGGCCCTATAACGGACACAACGCCGTCATCTGCAAGCTACCTTAGCGAGCAATATTCATCAAGACAATCGTCAACGTCTTTTACATAAAAATTATAAAGAAGAGGGCTTAAACATGAGCCCTGGGGGAGACCCATGTAACTAATTCGTGAAGTTGTTGAGTTTCCACGAGAAAAGCTCGTTTTCGTGATGTTATTTTTCGAATCAACTATGGTCAGTTTTAGTAGATACAATCAATCCAAATGGGTAGAGTCTGGACCAAAAACGACTCTCCCAGGCTTCAAAATTATCCGGATAAACATGGATAATATAATTATCCGGAATGACATATCCAGTGGATATAAATAAACAGAGTCTATACCTATCCACATTTTGTTCTATCCGAATAATACCCAAGTTAAAATTAATCGGATAGCTTAAACTTTCTATCCGGATACCTAAGTAATACAAATTCATAGAATTATGTTAAGTAAACTGCTATACAACCAAAACTAGTCAAACAAAGGTTGTATAAACTGTTATAGAACATACACTGATAGGCAAAATAAAGCGCAAACCGCATATTTTTTTGTTTTTCTCTCATTTATTTGGTTCAAATTAAAGTAAACACACTACATTGTTTTCGATATCTTATTTTTTATATTCTTTTAAAGTTTCACTCATGCAATACTAAAAGAAAAATTTTAGAAGAAGAAAAGTCATTTTTTATGGAAAAAAAACAGTGGCAAAAAATGTGCCCACTTAATTTGGGCTCCAGAAAAGATAAATTGAAGTACAAGAAAAGCATTTTAATAATTTAAAAATGTCCTCCTTTGGCCTTCAGGACCTGATGCAGGCACTTTGGCATGCTCTCCACCAGGTTCTTTAGGTGCTGTGGATCTAGCTCTTCCCAGACGCGCTCCAGGGCTTCAAAATAGTTATTTTTATCGGTAACACCAGTTTTGTCAACCCTGGCATCGAGAATCGCCCACAAATTCTCAATGGGGTTGAGGTCCGGACTTTTTGGAAAAAATCTGATCTCCGAAATGAGAAAAATGACTCATGATTTCATGAACACAGCGTATTTTCATGTTATGAAAATACACCATGAATAATATTCATGATATCATGAGCAACTTTTGCGTAACGCAGTATGTAAAAAGAATAAAATGAAGCATCAGACTGGATTCGAACTAGAGGTGGGCAAAACAGCTCATCTGGCCGAGTGGATCAAACCTATCCAGCTCACTAAAGGGAGCCGATTCTTTTGAACTCTCTTCAGCTCACATTAAAATTATAGAAATTATGACACAAATTCAAAACCGGCAAATTAATTAGTGGTTCTAGTGCTTAAAGCTGCATACAATCGTAAAAGTACACACTAAGATTATTTTACCGAAATCTGTGAAATTTTACCGAAATCTCAACAACTGAACGTTCGGTAAACAGTTCGGTGATTTTTCACAGTTATCCTGTAATTTTTCAACGAATTCCGTGAAAAATCACAGAAAATCTGTGAAAAATCACCGAACTGTTTACCGAACGTTGAGCTGTTGAGATTTCGGTAAAATTTCACAGATTTCGGTAAAATAATCTTAGTGTGTAGTCTAAACCAATAAATCCGTATCTTTCAACATGGATCTACTTTTCTTACTAACTACTTGATCAGCATCGCGTAAACATACACACAGATTTGATTTCTGTTGTAAATGCTCCAGCAAAATTTCTCTCACTATTCTCGGCTTCAGCTCCAGATCATCAGCTCAGAACCGGATCTGGAGCTGAATAGTGAAGAATCGAGAGAGAGAGAAAAATCCGAAGAGCTGGACGGATCCGAGAGTTGTCATCCTAAACAGCTCCCAGTGAATCATTCAAGTCGATGATTCGGATCCGGAGCTGAGCTGATAAGCTGGAGAGCGGTTATTTGCTTTTGTGCCGATCTTCCGCTTCCCCAGAGAATGATGGGAGGAGAGGTGAGAGCACATATATTGGAGGAATAATATCAGCAACAAGAGCCGGGTACATACATAAATTGGATAATACCAGTAGAAAATTAACATCGTGTAGCACATGTACATATGTCACTCTCTCCCAAAGAGCCGGTTGGAAGTTTGCTTTTACCGTTGGTGCTGTCGATCAGTAGGCACATGTTGTATTGTGCATGCTTCTTGGTTTACGCGGTCCTTTTTGAAAAGTTCCGCTATGAGTGATGGATTGAATGGTTTAGACTTGTGATATCAGTGAGCTGATGAGCTGCGGTTCCTAAAAAATAAACTGCGGGTCATCAGGTCACTTTAGAGAATCGGGTCTATAGAACAGCTCGGCAACGTATCGCCCATCTCTAATTCGAACCAAGAACCTTGAGATCATTAAACCCATACTTTGACCACTAGACTATCAGTACTTGTATAAGATGGAATACAAAAGGCGTATAATAGATAAATATGTAGTGTGGTTTATGAACACGGTTTGCCAAGTACGTGTAACGCTTGTAGCGGTCTTGATTCCACTGCATTATGAAATCATGAATATCCATAACGAAATCATGAATCATTGTTACAATTTCATGGGATGGCAAGTTTTTTCATTTCATGATTTTTTATTCATGAAAATGGAATCGGATTTGTTTCCGTGAAGAAAGACTTGGTCTTCTTGGCAGTATGCTTCGGGTCGTTGCCCTGCTGAAATACGAACTTCAAGTCCCGTCTGGATCAGCAAAACCTCACCCCACGAAGAACACCCCCAGACTAACACATTTCCTCCTCCATGTTTCACCGTGCCTTGGATGTGGCGCTCCTGAAGCTCCTCACTCGAGCTGCACCGTCAACAAACCCACCGCTTCCGGTTAAAAAGCTCGAATTTTGATTCGTCCGTCCAGAGAACCGTTTTCCAGAGCTCAAGGGGCCTATCAGCATGCTCCTTAGCGTTTGGTTTTGTTTGCCTTGCTGATATAGTAAATGGGCGCTTCCGGGCAACTTTGCTATTCAACCCCTGTGCTACGAGCCGGCGACGAACAGTTCGATCGGAAACTGATAGCTGAAGAGTTTCCTGGATCTCGCGGACAGTTACCTTCGGGTTCTTCTTGACTTCGCGCATCTTGGTGTCCGTTCTCGCATAAGTTTTGCGCTTCCTGTCTCTACCAGGGCGATCCGCCACTGATCCGAACGTTTTTAGTTTCAGAAGAATTTTCCCAACCGCTGCCTAGCTGCTGCTGTACATCCTAGCGACAGCCCGGTGCGATTCACCGTTTTGGACATCACGAACCACCAATTTTCGGAATTGCTTTCGAAATCAATGCGTTCTCCATTTTTGTTTTCAACTGAACCAAATTCGATCACTGAACAAATGCACCAGGTCGAGCCGTTTGCTTCAAAACATGTCAACATATCAAAACATAAACAATCGAGGGGTTTTCCGATGGAAACTTATCGAAAACATATCGATTTTTGAAGTGGGCACTTTATTTTGCCTATCAGTGTATGTGTTGCTTGGGTAGTATCCGGATAGACTCCAAACAGTTTATGTTTAGAATAGAGATGTTTGATATCATATATGGGTCATTTCATCTCAAGTGACAGAGTAAATTTGCAAAATTACATCGACCTTCTCCGATTTGAACCAAACTTGGTGCAATAACTTATTATGGACCAATATTGAAAAAATCAAAGACTTAAGCAATTGGCCTACCCCCTTTTTGACGTAGACTACGTCTGTGATTTCTCTATGGGGGTGCACTTTGTGAAAACCGAAAATGGAACATGTAACAAAACTATGAAAGATTTGGAACGTTAATAACTCAGCTGCCCCTGGACCAATTTCAATAATTTTATCACCAATCGGTTAAAAATATTTCTACGTATCTGTTGAATTTAAGACTATCATTTTTTTTTTCAAAATGTCACTATTGAAAATTGCACGAATGTGCAACTGTTACTATGATAGTTAAATTATCACCGATTGCCTGCGAAAAGTGATTTCCCTTACACAGATTTCAAAGTGGAATTCCATCCGGTCTCACCAAACGTTGTTTATTCAATCACCGCGTGGTGAGTGGTGGTGTTCTGCAGTACACAACGAAAGGCTGCCTGCAAGCAACAAGCTGCAGCCAACATGAGCATCCATAGAAGGAGGAAGAAGCCGCACAGCTACTGATCGGAATCAGTAGCTCTTCGTGAGTCGCTGTAGGCCATCTATGTCAAGCGCGTCATACTAAAGAGTAGAAACAGAGAGAACCCCGCTCAAATGCATATTCCTACACAAAACACAAGCTCCTGCTGCAGTTGACAAATAACATTTATTATATAAGACCACGTAGTCCTACGTTACCATAACGTACAACCCCATAGGGCTGTCCCTTGTAGTTTTTGTTTGCCGATTTCTTATTAACACCAGTTTGCAATGTTATACATCTCTGCAACCATTAAAGATACAGACGGCAATGGGTACCGTTTTAGTAAGAATTTGGACGTACATTCAAATGGTATGATCAGATTTTTTCTCCAGTGTTGCCAACTTTGCGATTTTAGCATTTGAAAACTTTAAATGCAAATATCTCAAAATGCCCAGACTTTTTATAAAATCTGATGACGTCAAATGTTCAGCGGAGTTTTTTTTACATAAGAATCACCTATCGACAAAAAAAAAACAGGAGAATTTGAAAAATAACATGTTTTAATTTTTTTTTTTTCGTTTACTTCGAAATGCTTCGATATAGAAAGTTGGTCTCTTTATGAATTTAACGGCGAAATCTGTAGCTGTAACTCTGTTTGGCATAAATGCGGAAAAGAACAGCTCATGATCAGAAGAAGGGAAAGTTATCATTTGATGGATATTTTTCCTTCGTTGAACATGAGCTGTTTTTTCATAGTTTTTGGAGAACCGATCATGGTAAACAAAGCAGTTTTGTTCGGTAGAACCTAGGTTCGTATCACATTTATGCCGTAATCGATACACAACAGATCCAATCCAATTTACTTGGATTCCTGGAATTTTGGACAAGATTCTTCGGAACTCAAAATGGTAGTTAAGACTATTTACGAAATTTCCAGAATCTTCAACGTGATTTTCAGATTATATTCAAAAAACCTATTACGGATTTTTGGGGAATCTCAAATTGGACATTTTAGAGTATGTTTCAACTCCTGAAGCCATACATCACTACACCAACATTAGAATTGTAGCATTTATACACAATATAACATAATTACATAAGCATCATTGCATAGTTTGTATTCGCCTAGCCCCAAGTTGTGATTGGTATACTCGTTAACCCTAAGTACTAACCTAGAAGTTCCGCATTTTGTCGTTCGTTGTGTTTGTGTTTGTGTGTGCGTTTGTTGTGTCTTTCTTTAAAACGCTGGCAAAGGTAGTGGTAAAAGCTCGAACAATGAAAAACAATGGATAAGACACAAAATTATTCATGTTCCACACACCGACAAATTCATTCACCAACAACACTGTCGACGGCCATAACAATAAACCGCTTTTCTTTCACCAAACTCACCTAAAAAAAAACTCACTCAAAAAACATAACCTCTTTAATAACAGCACATTCCATGTCTCCCCACGGATTGTCCTGTCCCCCTTCCTTTCGCACTTTTAATCCTCACCTCAATCCACATTGTTTCATGTTCATTGTTTCTCACACGTGTTTGAAAATCGATGCTTTGCGAACCAATTAAACTAAACGTAGCAGTTGCTAGAAAACTGGGAAGCATTAATTTTCAAACATTCTCACATTTGCCATTCATATCCGCTCGTACCGAGTAGGGAAATGGCCAATTTTTATTAAAATGTTTTCTTCTTCCCCTGTCGCGTCTCCAATGCCTCCCGGACTCAATGCTCAGGGAACCAGCGTCCTGTCGCCCATCATACCGTTCCTGTTCGTCGTGGTGCCAGCGTACGTCATCTCGCAAAAATCCACCGACCACATCTACGAAAACTACCCCGCGCTGTACATCATGGCATTCGGGATGATCACCGCCAAGGTTACCAACCGGTTAGTGGTAAGTGTCAGTTAGCGTGCAACCCAGTCTTTCGGAAAGTGTTTCAATCGATGTTCTGTTTTTTAGGTTGCCCATATGACCAAAAGTGAAATGGAATACCTGGATTGGGGTCTGATTGGACCTCTGTGTCTGTTCCTGAATCAGTACTTTAATAGTTTTCTGCCGGAGTACTATGTGCTCTGGTTCGCGATGTTGTGGTGTTCAGTGGATCTGGTGCGGTACTGTGGTCAGGTGAGTTCAATTTTGTGTAGGTTATACCTTTTTTGAGTTCGAAACATGACATTGGGTTGGTTTAGGGACCAGAAACAAAATTTGTGGTTGAAAATTGTCAGCTCAAAAATTATGATGCCCGAAAATATAATTTTAGAAGTTGGTAAAAGTTGCCAACATCTTACATTGTAAATAGACGAATTTACATTAGGTTGGTTACTTTGGAAACACTTTCGATCTGTCATTATAAATCTTTACAAAAGTCAGGGTGTCTCAGAATAGCTGATACTAACATAAAATGAATTTAGAACAAAACAAGTCATTCAAATTTAACCTGAATAGGGGTAAGAGGGGCATAGTGAGCATCCCGTGCACCAGCTTGGACTTCCAGCCGTTCGGAACAAATTTATTGGTCGTAGGATCAATATCATAATGATGTTAAACCTACTACCAGTTGATTTATTTCATGCAGCTGGAGATCCAGAGCCAAAGTGCGGGGTGCTCACTATGCCTCTCCTTCCCCTACCTATTGAAAAAACCGTAGTGTATGTACATTGACATACTTGAATTATTTTTGCTGGCGATTCTTTTTCTTAGAACTAATCCGTAAAACGGAAATACATCTCTGGAAGAGCAATACAAACTAATCATACGAATGTAGTTTAAATCCCTTCGCTGTTTACTTTAATAACTGCTTGTTACACAGTGGAGGGAGGAGTAAAGTTTTGCATTACGCAACAAAGAGAATTGAAAAATGAAAACACAGTTTTTTGTTTGTTTTTTTTTTTAGTAAAGTTTAATATTATCTTTCTTTATTAAAGAGACTTTCAGCCGTCGCACACTGCTGATACGTCTCTTCGAAAAAGTAATCGATAATTGTACGTTGTACACGATCACGTTGGCACGGCAGCACACAGCTTGTACGATGATGTCACATATACAACTTTTGCCAGAGTCAAAAGCAGATGATAGCATCAAAAACATGGCCGCCAGCCAGGCCCCTGGTTTGCTGGCAGCTCATAATAAGTAAACAATCTCAAAATTCAGCACAGCATTAAAAAATGGTGACATGTCAAAAATTTATATAATGATTTTCATTATGTGAAACCGTTTATTTCAATGTAAAGGATGTTTTTATCGGTATATATAAAGTGAAATAAAAAAAAAAACATCGAATATCATGTCTTCAGTTTTCTGGTATATGTTAGACAATGACATGAGCTAGCAAAAGAGACAAAGTCCAGTTGCCCTTAGCTGCCCCTACGAGAATCCCACCCACCTAAAATAGAGGCAAAATATCATGTTTTTCGAGAATATTTCACTAAAACCACTATAAATTCCACAAATAGTGCAATGAAAATTTGCACCTAGTTTGTTTTCGTTGGAATAAATGCCGAAACCAGAGCAAACATATGAAAATATACAAAAAAAATTACAAATAAGAATTTTGGCATCATATTTTTCAATACACCCTTTATCTCCGAAACTAAAGGTTATGGAAGTTTTATGTCTTGTGCAACTTTCCTTCATTTTAATAGATAAAAAACTTTGTTGAAAACACCATACGTCTAGGATGCTTTATTCAAAAGTTAGATTCGCGCGCCATCTCTACGACCAAGTTGCGAACTAATTAATTTATTCAAAAGAAGCGCTTAACTAATACAAACAACTTTACCGAAGACAGTATTCTGATTGGATGCTTTGTTCAAAAGTTATTAATTTTTTCCGAGAAAATCACTGATCTGCCCCAGTGTGCGTCGGCTGGTTCATCTCTGTGTAAAGTTTGAAAATATAGGTCAGAACATTTCATCACTAAATCTTACTTACAAAATGGGTGTGTTTTAATGTTCTATCTTGAGTTTTTTTGCTTTCGTTAAACTTTTGAAATGCATGTACGTTTATCTTTTGTTTTTTTTTTTTATATTTTTTTTTTGTGAATTAATTTATTTGTACAGGCTCAATCGAATAAACTTTACAGAGCCAAATTATCATTTGTGTTATACATTATTAATATCTTACATCTAAAGTTAAAATCTAAAGTTAAAGAAATTAAACCGAGTACTCGCGGTCGTCTCGAGGTTAGTGGAGATTTACCGTTTCATGGATGGGGAGAGGGAGAAGGAGGTTTGAAATATGATTTACGATACAAATATTTCATTATGCCTAGCATGAACTTATTCCTTTTCAACTTGATATCAGCAGTGTAATTATACCATTATTACAAAAAATATTAAAAAAACACACACACACACACACACACACACACACACACACACACACACACATAACCAAAATACAAACTAAACACAAGGTTAATCAAATTTACAATCTAAGGTTAATATTCTTCAAGAAAACATATATGAGCTTCATAAACTCCACCTCGCGTCCAGCCAAAACATCCCGAACTGGAACATTAGGTTGTCTACCTCGAGCTCGAAGGGAATCATATAGCTCAGATCTGACTCCACGATGCTCAGCACAGTAGCAAATAATGTGATCTGCATCCTGGTAACCTTGTCCACATTCACAGAGATTGCTGTCCCCCAGCCCAACACGGAACAAGTAAAAGTTTAACGAATAGGCGAACGAAGTCTCGACTCACCTCCAACCCTTTGAACCAAGGAATCTTCGACACCATAGAGATGATCGAATATAGCCTTCGTCCCAAACTCCCTTCACTCCATTTATTTTTGCCAGCAGGCAAGCGACTGTTGACGATAAATGAAGAAAAATTCGTTGTAGGCGATTTGTCGATCGTAAATATCGCCTTCCATAGCGCCCACCTTTGCAAGCGAGTCCGCCTTCTCATTGCCCGGAATCGAGCAATGAGATGGGACCCATGCAAAGGTGGTGACAAAAGATCTTAAAGATAAAGCACTTAGAATCTCTCGTATTTTCATGAGAAAATACGAGGAGTGCTTTACCGGCCTCATGGAGCGAATAGCCTCGACAGAACTGAGACTATCCGTAAAAATAAAATAATGATCTGGGGCAAGTACGTCGATAGTTTCTATCGTATAATGTATTGCCGCCAGCTCAGCAACATATACCGAACAAGGAGCATGAAGCATTCGAGAGGTGCTATAAAATTCATTATACATACCAAAACCAGCGAACGCCTCTATTAGTGATCCATCTGTGAAGAACGATCTTGCGGAATCAACTTAGCCAAAGTTTGCAGCGAAACTTGACGGAGCAATCATGGAACGGTGAGGCTCTGGGATACCGCGAATCTCTTGCGTCAAGGATAAATCAAAATGAACAGAATTACCGAAGTCGGAGAAGCAAACACGATAGGGATTATGCTGCGAAGGGCTGACATCCTGTGTTATGTACACGTAGTACAATGACATAAAACGAGTTTGAAGGTTTAGCTCAAGAAGCTCCTCAAAGTTTGCAATCACCAGTGGGTTCATAATTTCACAACGGGTGAGGAGCCTGAGGGACAATTCCGAAACCCGATCAGAGAGTGGCAACATGCCACTTCGAGACTCATTGTATGAGTCGAGTGCATGCATCCTAATGCGATACGAAGACAGCGATACTGGATCCGTTCCAGTTTGATGATGTGCGTACTACCGTACTCTAAAACCGATAAAATCGTTGTCCGATATAACGTTAGAAGATCTTGCGGATGGGCTCCCCACAACGTTCCGGTAATTGTACGGAGAAAATTGATCCTTTGTTGGCATTTCCGCTTCAGATACTCAATTTAGAATCGACCCAAACCCCAAGATATTTGAAGGACATAGAATGAGTCATCGGTTTACCCAAAAGTTGAAGCTTTGGTTGTGCTGGGCTTTGCTTCCTAGTAAAACCGACCAACTCAGTTTTCTACCTAGCTGAATAGCCCAAGTAGACAAATTGTCTAAGGTATCCTGTAAGGATCCTTGCAAGTCGGCCGTCATCTGCAAGTTGTCTCAGCGTGCAGTTGTCACGAAGACAATTATCAATTTCTCTGACGTAGAAATTATACAAAAGGGGGCTTAAACATGAGCCCTGGGGGAGACCCATGTAACTAAATCGAGAAGCTGTAGAGTTTCCATGAGAAAAGTTCATATGTTTCTCTGACAGCAAATTGTACAAAAAGTTATTAATTGATGGAGAAAGGCCACATGCGTGGAGTTTGTCTGAAAGGACTTCAACCGATACTGAATCAAAAGGCCCCTTGATATCCAAGAACACAGAAAGCATTTGCTCTTTTTTTTAGCAAAAGTCAGCTGAAGTTCTGTGGAAAGCAACGCGAGACAGTCATTCGTTCCATTGCCCTACGGAAACCAAACTGAGTATCTGAGAGTAGGTGGTTTGTCTCAACCCATTTATCCATTAGAAAAAGGATCATCTTCTCCAAAAAAATTCGAATGCACGATAACATCGCGGGTCGGTGCGAGTTGTAATCTGACGCGGGCTTGCCAGGCTTATGGCTAAATATAACTCTCACCCGCCTTCAATCATCCGGAACAATATTGAGATCCAGGAGCTGACCAAACAAGTTCAACATGCGCCTCTTAGCGACGTCTGGAAGGTTCTTCAACAAGTTGAACTTGATCGTATCAGCCGACCGTGCCGCCACGGAATCAGGACACACTTTTCGCGTGAGCTTGAGAATCCAACGATCCAAGTACTCCTCGCTCTCGTTGTTTGAAGACCGGTTACGCATTCTTCGCGCCGCGTTCCAAAGCATATTCATCGACGTTTCGCGCGATAATCCGTCCACGAATTGCCGCCAGTATCCGCGTTTCTTGGCTTTAATGAGGCTCTTGAGCTCGCGTTCAAGAACCGAGTACGGGTGTTCCACGTTTCCGGAAAAGCTTAAACGCGTCGGACTTTTTACGATAAACCTCAGAGCATTGCTCGTTCCACCAAGGGGAAGGAGGTTCCTGGAACCGGCCGAGTTTGAGCTTGAAGCGCGCTGTCCAAGATCAAATTGGAGAGGAAGTTATATTCCTCCAACGGTGGAAGTTAGTGCTTCATCTATCACAGTTTTATACTTCGCCCAATCGATATTAGGGGTAAGATCG